ATTAAAATTTTCTAAACCTGTTTTGTTCTTAGGTTACAAATTTAGGTCCATGTTCCTAGGTGTATTACTGAAACTCTAAAAAGTCCTGACTAACTTCTTTAAACTTTTCCAAATTGCATGTCTACAAGTGTATAGAGATTTTTCACAAGTGTCACACGTGTCCCAGTTTTGTTATTAAACTGGATAAAACACAGAGCTTAGGAGCAGAAACTCAAATCTTGGTTTCCTTAACCTCTCTGTAACTGTGTCCTACTTTTTAGCCAGCATGCAACATCTTCATCCTTTTCCAAATCTGGCTTCAGCTTTTCTTTATTGAACTTGATTTATTTTTTTCATAGTGGCAAAGCTTTCTTTAAAGAAGAGATGGATAGTGTTTCTTTATGTGAATCACACTAGCATATATCTAAAGGTGATGGCATCTTATAGAGGGAGAAAAGAATTGGTGCAATCTTCTTGATCTGCTTTCCTGAGGTTGAACTTTAAAATAATGCTTTATGAAAAAAAAAAAAAAAAAAAAAAAGTTATTNGCTTTATGAAAAAAAAAAAAAAAAAAAAAAGTTATTCTGGTTGCATTTTTAAGATAGAAGTTCTTTGAAAGAGTTATCACCCTTCTTTGATAAATTTTGTGGGAAAAGGGCATGCAGGCTTGGTGGAATGAATTATCTTTAAAAACATTCCAATTACTCATAACAGAGACATAGACTGGATTTCAAAAACCCTAAATTGCAGCATTAGATGCTATGTTTAGGGTTTGGCATTTGCAATGAGCTGTGTAGAGTTCAAGGTATCCCAGAATACAGGTCATAATTGGGATAATTTAATATGCATCTCAAATAAAATGTCTACATATTGACACTGAAATTAAAAAAAGATAATATCATATAATTCATCTGTTTTCTTCCTTTTGTTTTATAAGAAGCCACATTTGACAGTTAAGTTATAATCAAGACTAAATCCTTCTCAAAAAAAGCTTCAGGTCCTGACAAATATTTCCATAATACATATGAATATATATTTTTGTAGAAAAAGATGACGCAATAAAATGCACCTGCATTACTCAAAATAAATGTCAGGAAAGCTCAGTGTAAGTCATAGTCCTGAGTGCCAAGGACACATTGACAAATGAACTCATTAATGGCATGAAACTGAAATGAAAATTCAGCCTTATTGATATCTAACAGTAGTAAGAAAATCTCAAAATTCAATATTTCTGTAGCCTGCTCATTTGAAAGACTATGTAGATATAATAATTACATTGCCTGACTATAGAAAAAAAAAAAAGCATAATTATGATCATGCATATCTAGCAGCTTTTTCCAAGCATCTTAAGTGCTTTGTAAACAATAATTAATTAAATATGCTTATCACTTCCTTTCTGGTGCAGACAACAAAACCTGTTCCCTTTCTTTACAAGTCTCTTTTACTTAATGGTGTAGGGTGACAGGTGGGAAGTAGAAAATTCTTCTGATTAATGTTACATCGGCAGGTTCATCTTTCATGCTTTGTCATTTTAGGAGGCTATGGAACCACTGTTCTTATGCCTTTGGCACATCACACGCAAAAACATGTCTGGGACTTCCACTGCCTTTGTAAAAAGCTGTTTTGCCTCCTAGACATGTAGCAAGTTTCTGTATTAAACTCATGTTTTTGTCTGTTATCTCCTTTTACAACAGTGGAAGGTCATAGAAAATCTTCATTAGATCATCTGTGATGGCATCCCCATAAAATTTAAGAAAACAAACCAGCTCTAATGCAATATAAGTCTCCTGAGTATTCAGGATTACTTTTGAAGCTCATTACCTAAAAGACACTTTACAGCAAAAAGCACAGAAGATCCACAGAAGAGCCAGACAATATAATAAATGTCTACCATGTCCCCAATTCCGTTTTCTCACCAGCCTAGAACTAGGCAGGACTGAACACGTCTGGAATATTTTCACTGGGTGACATTCAGCTCAGCCACATCAAAGCATAGAAAAAGGAGTAATGACTGCACACAGGTGCAGTCAAAAGATTTCTTTTCTCTCTCTGTTTGTAAATCTAGTGAAGGCTATGTGGGAGGAAAGATTTGAGGAGATATAAAGGCCTGGGGAAAAAAAAGTAAGAGTATGTAAACTTATGACAAATATATCTCTATACACATATGATCAGAGAACATTAATCTGTCTATACATTTATACATATGCATTTATATTTAATACATTTATATCTGCATATGTGTGTATATAAACACACACATATATGCAGATACAAATGTATTAATTTATTAATTTATCCAAATATGCAATAAAAAAATCTTAAAATGAAAGTTAAAGAGCGAGAGAAGGAAGATTCAAGTGTCAGAAGTTCATTGGGTTTCTTTAACTGTCTCATCTAATTTTCAGAGTGTACTTTGTCCACTATTGCAGTAGGTGCGTCACACTTTGTTCTGGCTGGTTTATGTATTAAGATTTCACATTAATTCTTCTGAGATATGTTCTCTGTCCCTTTTGTGGTATGGAACACATATTTGTGACTGCTGTAGCTATATTCTGTGACTATTTAATACAATTGTTGTATTCTTGTAGAAAAAATGAATTATCTAAGTTTTGCCTTGGGAGCTACTTTAAATACGCAATTCTTTTCTTCAAGTCATTCCTATAGGCAAGAGGGAGCACATCTGCTCCCTAGTAACTGAAAAAGTTCAACAAATGAAGCTTCATAAAGCTATGTATTTTTTCAGGATTTGAGATTTTCCTACAAAAGAATATTAACACTTCCTAGAAGTTATTTTTCAGAAAGAAAAAATATTCAAAAATGGAAGAATGCATGCTTGAAATATATCAATATATCTGTTGGGGTTTTTTCCATTATTATTATCTGCAATGCACTTTTTTGCAGGGGGGGGAATAATAAAGAAAAAATAATTCTATTCACTCTTGGTGTTCTAGTCACCAAAACTGGAAGCCATAAGATTTGCTCAAATTTAAAAACTAAGCTAAAGAACAGTTTCAAAGAAATGCAATGCCTACAGACCAGAATTACCCAAAGTAAAAAACATTTATATGCCTGTTGGTGGCTCACCCAGGCAGTGCTGGCAATACAATTTTACTCTTGTGCAATCCCTAATCACTGGTTGAAGGCCAAGTGAGTAAGTTATATTGATTTTATTTTTGCTACAGAACACAATTTTTCTCACATTATTGCATTGGCTATATACTGTTTCTAGCACATTGGAGTTGACCAATGCAGTAAAATTCAAAAGTTTGTTCAACTTACTTTAAATCTATATGTATTTCTACCTAAACTATCTTTTAAGTAAACTTAGGAAAATGTCAAAATTACTCATGTCTGTAAAAAGTGTCATAGCTGAACTCTTCTCAGGATAAGAAATTGATGCAGTTATTAAAAATTACATCTGAAGTCTAGTATGTAGGATCCTTTTAAATGAGATCTTCAGCTTTTTGTTTTCTGCTAACAGGCAGTGGAATAACATTACTAGAAGTCATATCAAAAATATGTCCAATGGTCCTTTAAACTTAATTATAAATTATTTTAATTTAAACTGTGATAGTATTCAGTGAATGATTTATTACAGTACTATTTAATGTTCTTCTACATAGTACAGCAATTTTCCACTTCATTGCTGCCATTTGAAAATTACGTCAGAAGTTTCTTCACTTATTTCTTCTTCTTAATGATTTATTGTTATGGTTGCAAAGCATTTCAGCTGGCTACTATAGCTCCCACTTCCCTCAGGGCAGTTAAAAAACACCTTGGTGTTTCTCAGATTATGTTAAAAAAATATTTACCTTTTTAGGTTTTAATTACTATGGTTTGTCTAGACAGTCTAGACAGCAATGGAAAACTCAATATCAATGACTATGATGAAATTTTAATATGCAACACTAGTTATCCCTTAATCCTTAGATATGTTTGTTGACTGTCGCAATTTCCAACGCTTGTTAATGTCAAAATCTAAACTGTAAGAGAAAACAGGGAAGAATCTGCAAAGGATTATTCACACTCTTATTTTTGAGTCACAGTGGAGCTTCAGCTCTGAAGTACTGGATCAATTGTTAACAAAATCTGATTTTTGCAGATTTGAATGCAGCATTAGCTCATTCACTGCTGACCTGATTTTTACATTTTTATAATTTTTGTTAGATATATACATATATATGCGTGCAATGCTAATACAACGCCATATTAAAAACCTGCCCGAGGATTACTATTAACAATAACCTCCCCTGAAGCAGGTTGTGAAGCCAGTCTAATATAGTACTCAATTATCCCTGCTTTTAAAATATTTTTCCAGTTTCTAACAATAAAGTTCTTTGCCATACATTAGTTCTTACAGCAAGTCCAAATCAAAGAGATTGCTAACAAATAATCTTTCCTATAAAATATGAATTTAGTCTGGAGAAAAATGCAGATTTCTTTGTTGATTTTCTTTATTTTACTCCAGAAACCTGAAGAGTGGAGTTGTAAAACAATCTAATACCGCAGTCCCATCTATTCAAAATTAAAAATAGTCCAGGAATTTTTTGAGCACCTAAACCACAAGAAAATATATTTATAATTGCCTTCCTGGTGTTTTGAAGAAAAAATATACCTTTTAGGCATGTCAATAAAAATGAGCATAGCACATACTCAGTATGATGCTTATGTAATACAAAATCGTGGTTCTTGCAGGTACAAGCATTTCAGAAAATAGAATTACAGTGCTGAGTCTAAAAAATCTTCCAGTTTTGAAGATTAACCTGAGATAATTTTCACATCAGAGAATATGCATAATAAATTGTTAAATATTTTGAGACAGAAAAGTTTTTCCAGAAGGAGGGTACAAGAAGGTGGTAGGACCTGGTCAAAAGGAGGGAGGAGAGAGGACATGGAATTATGTTTCTGTTCTGAGCTCTTCCATTAATGAGTTGCTGTACAATTAATGTCAGCATTGAAAGATACAGGCTACCACTCCCTTCAAGATCAGTAATTCTTACCTTAATTAAGAAGCAAGGTTAGCCTTTCCTGAATGATGGCATATTTTTTCTTGTAGATTAAGGACAAATTATTGTTTCTGAATTATACCTGGTTCTCTTCCAGGAAAAAGCAACATATCAGAACTGGAACCATAAATGCCATAAATACCTGCTTGACACAGTAATTTGCTTGGAAGTGAAAGAACAAGAAATAATCCATGTGATTATTGATAGTTGATTAATCTTCATGCTGAGACATTTTGGTTCCTTGGCAATATCTAATTTTACAGTATTTAGGTAGAAAGCAAAGCTCTGTTTCTGTTTCAGAACAACTCCTGTCTTAAGATATGAGACTTTCAAACTGAGAAACCTGGAAGAGATTCCTCAAGCCAGATGCAGAGTGGTACAGACAAAAGATTAACTTGGAAATATGCAGTTTATGAAATTATCCTCAAAATCCTTTTGCACTAGAAATTAAATACATTTCATTATGTCATATATAAGTTAGTACTAATTAAAGAATTGCCAAGGAATAATTAATCTGAACATACAGACATTTCTCCCTTATACCTTAGATATATTTAAAATAAATGTAAGAAAGATACAATTAAAAATATTATGCTTAGCATATTGTCTAAAATCAGTACACTGAATTAATAAATGTAAATCACCAAGTACTAATGCTAAATAAGTATTAATTGGTGAAAAATTTTCTGTCACTATAGAAGATTAAATCACCTGTGGAAAGGCTCTTGTACTTAACAGAAGGAACAGGCATTAAAGAAAGAGGTATTATTTTTTTCAGCATTTATTAATATACATGTCACTGGGAGACTTTGAGCAGCACGTACCAATCCTAATCTTATTAAAGGCTAACAGTAGGTTCAGTGCTCTTGAGTGGTGTGGAATGCTATATGGAAGCAGACACTTCTTTTCCTTGTCACATCCTTCATAAACTCTAGACTTGAAGCAACTACTGTAATCTTACTCTTTGATCTCTGACTTAATGGGGGCCTAATGAAATTCCTGATATAATTTGTCAGTTCTGCAGCTGGTGCTAAACTAAAGCATGCTTTAGTTAAATGCTCTTAATATAAATGTTCCCAGCATGAGAGAAGGCAGCAGAATTTTTGCGATGTTATTGCAATGGCTTGGAAAATGCAGTTTAATTTGTGTGCCAAGTCTGAATTTATCTTGCTTAGGTTGAAGTGACAGGATCATGTTATATGCTTGTGATCTTGCATGAAGAGCTTGCTATTGCTGTCTTTATTCCTTCTGTAGGTTTTTACAGCTTGTGATCATGGCCTCATCCATTAGTTTTCTTTTAGATTTACTGTATAGGTTGAATAGATTTAACTCTTCTGATTTTTTTTACTCAGAGCCTATTTGACCCATTTTTAAAATTTGATAAAAATTATTGTATTGCCAAGTAATGCCCATATTTGTTGACTTATTTATAACTTGCTTGTCTGTCAATAACATACCATAACATTAATAATATAAAAAGTACCATTCAGTAGTAGACATGATAATAATTAATCCACACCCATAGGTATTTAAAAGTGCAAAGGTGAGAACCAATTGAAGCATTGAAGCTGTAAATTATGTTTAGACATAAACACCCTCTGCCCCCACCTTCTTGTTTCCTCATTCTCCTTTTGTGTAAAAATAGATATTCTTATATTTTTAATATAGACCATATTACGACACAGACATAATTTTGGTGATTTCAAGTGATTTGTGAATGGTTTGAGAGGCAGCAGCAGTTCTGTAACTTTGTGGCTACATTTAAGTGTCATGCAGGTAGGTCTCTAACCACTGTCCAGTCTCCCTATTTTCCTGAATCCCCCTGTAGCAAAATAAAGGATATTAATCTCTTATCCTAATTTAGCTTAATATTTAGGTGCACTGAAGCCTTAGTCTGCAAGATGTGATATGCTGAACTTTTAACAAGTTAACTAAAAGGAGGCTCAGAGCTGGTTGGAGCTGGAAGATAAGGAAGCAAGGAAGGTTGCTACCCTCATCAGCAGAATCAGCACCCTGAAATGTAAGTAAAGAAATGGCCTGCCTAAAGACAATGAAGGGATTCAATGAGCAATGGGAAGACTCCAGACATTAATATTGGTTGGAACTGTAATGAGAGAATGGGGAATTTAGATTGTAAGATAGAATTGCACAGGGATTTCTTTGTTCATGATCTGTTTCTGGAGGAACCCAGCTAGAGGTGTTTCTACTGCTGTATTACTCAAATAAATTACAGTAATTTCATGATTTTAAGCTGCACCTGATTATGAGCCGCATTTCCGGGTGTCAGCAATGTTTCGTTCTTTGTCCATATATAAGCCATACCAGATTATAAACTGCACTTTTGTTCGCAGTGGGAATCCGTGGGCAACTTTGTGAAAGTTGCCAATTAGTAACAGAATCGCAGGGATTGCGGGGTTTATTGGCTCGGCTTGGGGCCATGCGGGCTCGGCTCACCGCTGCCCTGCCGCCGGGGAATGCCGCTGCTGCCCCACCTCCGGGGCCAGGTGGCTCCAGCTCGGCTTGGGGCTACTGCGAGCTTGCACTTCCAGGTTGGCAAATTTCTGAACTTCATCCATATATTGGCCGCACCTGATTATAAGCCTGCACTTCCAGGTTCAGACCAAAATTTTAGTCAAAATAGTGCGGCTTATAATAGTGAAAATACTGCACTTTATTGGACGTAGAGCCTGAGACAGCTAAATAAAGTGGAGAAAATTCTTTAATACCTACCTATTTTTGTCCCTCACAATATCATCTAATCTTTACAAATTTTCTTTTAAATGTGAAAGCATCATGTTTCCCTCTACTTTATTCTAATTCATTCCAAAGATATCACTGGAATTATGTAGCTGCCTATGTACTCCACGACACCAGTGAAAGTGTCATAGCTATTGGGTTCTGGTGCATGCTCAAACACCAGCTCCATGTGTGATTCAGATCACTCCTACTTCTTCCATTACTTGCCTTCCATGAAAAAGACTTCAGCTCCTTTTAGCTCCTTACACCTTAAGACTTTCAACTGTGTTGATTTTTATATTTTTTACGTATAATGGGAGATATAAAGTTGAGTTTTGGAGAATTTAGCAACATGGAAGTGGATATTAGTAATATGAAATTATGGAAAGGGGATAGGGTGACAGAGGAGCTCAAATACTGTGCCACAGAGATCCATGGAGAAAAAAACACATGCTACAGCCTACTAGTTCTTCTGGAAAAAGGGCTTGAGGTAGCACTCTGTTGGTACACTTAACGAGGGAACTCAAGAGGAGTTACAATACTGAAGGAAGCCAGTATAATTTGGCTGAAATGTCTTTGTCTGTATTGTCTAAATCACCTATATCTGGATTTTTTGGTTCTGCTATACTACAAAATGAAACCCTTTCTTTTTTGTTTTTTTTTTTCTTTGATTAGAAAATTGATATTCCTGATTATGTTCTGAACAACTAAAATGTCTCATGTGAGATTGAATGAATTCTTTTTATCTGAGTAGAAGAGAGAGGGCACCAATTTTCCTAATATTAGAAAGCACACAATATAAGGGCATGTAATTTAAAACACATTAGCAGCTGGATATTTCCCAGTCCTTCATTGAGCTGTCTGTAATGGAGGAGTATTGTGCAATAACCCCTTTCACTCGGTTATGCTCTGTATGACAGAAATCTGAGGACTGTTTTAAGGTGAGTCTCTGATAAGTACAGAATCTAGATTATAATCAAGTCTTTTGATGGGAAGTGTAATAATACAGTGAAATAACATGACAATTATAAAAGATAGTTCACTTCAGGAAAAAAAATAAGTTTTCTTAAAATTTTTAATAACCTTGGGAATGGGGTATGTAAATTAGACAATAGTTCAGGAAAAATCAAGCAAACCAGATCCTTTGAAATAAACCTTCAGGTCTTAGGCTTTTAGAGATTTTCTCCTGCTTCTAATTATTTTCACAACTTCCAGAAAACAAGTGTCCTAGCGATGCCCACCACTAATTCTTTGAATTACAGAATGCATTTTAATAGGTATTTTGAATGTTACCCAGTACAACATTGATGACTGCAAAAGCTGCAGCTTGTAACCAACAAGCCTGTCTTAGCAATCCATGATCATTATATAGAGGTCTTTTTTCATACTGTAAGGGCAGTAAAAGTGCTATCATAACTAAAATAAAATGTGATGGTCTCAAATTTAAAGGGCCTACTTTGAAGTCATTATAAATTCGGATTCTGTTTTCAAAAATTTATAGTACCCCCCAATTATGGTCAACCTTATTATTATTCATAATATTTTTGATAATTAAAAATTATAAAATTTGATGAGTACAACCAAATAACTCAGGCCTATATCTGTCCTCTTAAAACATGATCCTTTTTTTCTGCCTAAAACAAAGAATTTCAAATACAAAGCAGTAAGTTTCAATGGTTTCTCCTTCTCCAAGGAATTACACCTTTTTAAAGATTTAACACTGGCTGCGTTTAAATGCTTACCTCTCTGAAAGGCTTGGAGCCTGTCTATGCCTGCCCAAAAATTAGCAGCAAGTCCATAACAGCAGCCAGAAAAAGTCACAGAATTTTTGTAGTTGTCTCCAGTCCCTGAGTCACAAAGCAGAAAAAAAGCCCTAATACAGGGAGCTAATATGCCTTTTACTACTTCTGGGATATAAGCTGAGAAAAAAAAAATCAAGTGAGATTTGGATTTCTATTTCTGTGTGCACAGGCATTAGATTTACACTTATAGAACTGGGCCAACAATTCTGTGATGGAAGACAATTTAAAAATTGTGGATTCTGATCATCTTGTGGCACCTAGTTTTCATCATATAAAATTTTAGTGATTTATGGATGCCCAAGTGGTCTTATACCACCTTTTGTTTTTCTTGGACCTACTGAAGACAACAAAAAAAGTGATATTTTTTAGGAAATTTTTAATATTCTTCTTTCCACTTATATGTAATTTGAAGCAAATAGATTCTTGCTGCCTTTTCTTCCCTTCCCTTTCACTTACATGCAACTTGAAATCATATGTCACACTAACAAACAACCACAATTGTTTTAGCATTAAACATACTATCTGTATACTTTAAAATTAAATTCAAGTTCAATATGTCTGAACTTAA